TACACACGATTACCAAAATGCTAGGTTCCCGGTGATTCTCGTCCGCTTATGTTTATTCTTTAGTCTTTCTAGTGGTAGAAAACGCTTATTTCGACTATTTTGTACCAGTTCCACTACTTCCCCGCTTAGTTTCAGTAATTTCTGTTGACTTCGATGAGTTTTTATCCTGGAGATTCCCAGGCAGGTGTACACATGATTCCCAGAGTTATGCTGCCCCCTCGCTTCCAAAGGATTTTTCGTGTTTCCTTTTAAGGCATGTAGGCTTGGTTGTTGATAATATTTAAAATAGGGCGAGGACGACTGAGAATATTTCGGACCAGATTTTGATATCTCCTGCTTGTACCGGGTGTAACTGTGAATGCGCAGCAGTGCTGCGGGTTTGCCTCCGTAAGGGCCATGGCCCCTGAAGCCATATTGAGTATGCAAGCCCGCAACACTGCTGCGAATTCTCAGTTACACCTGGTACGATAGGCCCAGGAGTCTGTTTGCTTAAAAACAACGCGTAGCGCGCTCGAAGCGATGGACACTAGCCGACCCGCCTCAGCTGCGTCACGACCCCGCCTAGCGCAATATGTGAGCTTGCTATTCGATCTCTTTTATATTTCTTAATCGAGAGTTAAAGCAATGACACCTTACATTACTCATATATAGTTATGTTTTTAGATATGTTTAGTATATAGGTGTAAGGTTGTAAGTACCATCTGCTAAAAAACGATAACTATTCTTTTTACCTGCGAAACAATTAAACCTCACATGGCACATGGGTACTGTCGTGTAACGAGTAGGGAGGCATAAGGCAAAAGAAGATAATTATAGGATGGCCAAATTTGTCGCTGTCGCTGCCAGTGCCCCATCTATAGTCGTCCCTACCAAACTTATTGATTGGGCGACTGGTACGACGCAGCCTTTTCGTGTCGCATAAATCGAGAATTTTGACTGGGATGAACAGAGTTGCACAGGATGAGCTTAAACTCTAAATCTACGCCAATTATGGTCGTCCCAGCCAAACTTTTCGGCAAAGGCTATGCGAAAAGGCTGCGCCGTAACGGTCGCCTAATCAAGAAGTTTTGCTGGGACGACTATAGTAGTGCCATTCTTGTAGCACCAGCCCACCAGTCCGACTATACACAACAATACTGAGCCCTCCCCCTCTCTGGTCTCTCCCTACCCTCTTTA